GGGGGGACTCAGATAATAGAACTAACGACAAAAACGAGAAGTCTTCCTTCAAGTTTCGACTGCAGCCGTGTTAAAAGTTTTGGACAATGCCAAATATTTTGCGGTGTTCACTTTGAGCATAGCTAACAAAAGAAACCGAAACGTGAGACAATCACATCTCCAGATATACAACATAAGTCTGACTGAACAGTATCATACGTGGATCTGTGCCCTATGCATCATGCAAATAAGACACAACGAAGGGAACAAGGAAACAGGTAATGACGGAAAACAGAAAGAAAGAAAGAAAGAAATAATATTTCAATACTGGCAGTAATTCTTAAATTGCAATTTATAGAGCATTCTTTAGTTGGAATTTATATAAGGTTAAATGGTAGCAAACTAATTGGTGATATCTCGACGCTAATGATAAGAAAGGTAACATTAATTTGCAATGTGTACTTTAAACAAGGTAACAGCTCACTGAAAATCATACGTTTTTATAGGTATATTTAATGATACGTAAACATATTTTGCAATTCAAAACACAATTTTCTTTAGAGTTTTCTTAAATTGTTAACATGTGGAAAGCGAATTAAGTGGTACTCAATTTCTCAGCAGTTTGCTCTGTGATTCCACGCTCTCAAATGCCATAAAAGGCGAAGTAGATTGATACTGTATTAATAGCTAAATTGAAGGCATTTTTAATTCGACAAGTGATTTACAATGGGCATATTCAGTTCAGAATCTTGTTCTATGTCGACATGAAAACATGATGACGAGATTACAACTATATAGTAAAAATTAATTTTTAAACTCCAATACTTGATCATTGATACAGCTAACCGACGATCTGAAACAAGGAAAGAAGATGAAGTTCCAGGAATTAAAACGAGAAGCTGAGAATAGGGAAAACTGGAGAGCTCTTTTTGGGCAGAGCAATGGACCTGTCGTAAGACAGAACACTGAATAATAATAATAATAAACTTGATCATATAGTCAAGAAATCTGTTTTTACGTCTGGATATTCCACTTTATGGCCAATCTTAAAGCCTTACGATGAATGTTTTATATGCACTTTTTGTTTACTACGGGCGTTCAAAAACACGAATGCAAAATCATACCAATAACTTTAACGGAAACTCGTATAATATTTGCTTGGTATACATATCAATCGTTTTACAACAAATGCTGGTAGGCAAAAGGTCCGAAATACAAAAGGTTCTAGGAACAAGGCATGAAACATTTCCTAAGTACGTTCATCCCCACACAGCCAACAGGGAACATTTAAACTTCATAACTTTGCAATAGAATTATATATTATCTCTGAAAATGTCTCGATCCTATAAATTTTAAATTATAAAACTATGTGCAATACAACTGTAAAGATCTGTACATTTTCCGCATTAGTAATTGTTAACTCACAAATTACGTCTTCAGAAAGGTTAAACGCTTTCACGGCGACTAACATTGAGATGGCTGTCTCCTGGAATGTTACACCATGTAGTCTGGTAGATACTGACCGACGTTTCAGAAGAGGTTACTGCCTCCATCATCGAGCTGATGAGTGACCACCAGACTACAAGGTGCAACATCCTAGAAGCCAGCCATCTTACGTAGCTTAAAATACACTTACGTACACGCAGACGTACGTTTCGTTATGAAACATTAAGTTAATACAGGGAAAGAAATCAAGCAACTTAAAGCTAGGATGAAGGTGTCCCGATTCCATTTTTACTGGACCTTGAGTGTACATAGCTTCATAGTAAACCATTACTGGAGTTATGACGTGGTGGTTTTAGCGGTTGCCCACTGGCTTTAGATGGTCAGCGGAAGGGGAATGTATAATTTCCAAGTGGGAGGAGTCCACAATCCGGGAACAAAAAATCTCTGTAAGTATTTCGTCAACGTGTAATAAATGTCTCATTAGTCTACGTCCTCTCATTGTCTCCTCGTTTTAAGTCACAGATTTCATCTCCTTACATTTGTCCCCTTCCATCGTCCTGCTAATCAGTACACTTTGTACTTTTCAGGAAAAAATAAATTGTCCACTCTTGATAATTAGTATCGTATCACTAAGACTGCTTTTATTCTCAACCAACAGACTGAGCCAATGGTAAAATAACTTTCATTCGTGTGTAAAATGGCTTCTATTACCGAATCACTACTACATTTTGGCATTACCATTCTACTTTCTTAATCATGACGGCTTCATAAACTGTGATATACCAAAATGTTTTTGAGCGCTCAACGTGGGAAGTGTCGAGAAAATCTGCACTAACTAACAGACCAACTGCAATGTAAAGGTATTCTTTTAAGAGTTAATAATTATTGATGGACAAAGAATCCTCTGCTTTTATGAAACCTAAAGTTTCAGAATCATCTTCCCAAAAAGCCTGTCATTGGACTCTACTGTAAGTATGTATAACCATTAAATCTCTAGTGAAGGAAATGCTATATAATTCCGAAGTAACTGAGTCATGGTGGTATAGCAACAGCGTGTGATGTGGAGGAAATTCCACTACCTAAAATTCCAGTTAGGTCAGAAATTGAACATTCCTTTCGTTTGAACTTGGTTTTCTGTTTCATTCTTTCGACATTCGTGTGTACATAGTGCATCTTACTAGCGCCACGAAGTATAGTCCTATTGAGAAGCTGACAGTCGCTCAGCTATTCAAGAGACCTACGGCCCTTTAAGGAACCCAAAGGCTTATTTATTGCCTTGTTTTCAAGAGTCCGCCATTGGTCACTGTCCTCATCCAAATAAGTAAAGTAAGTAAAGTTTGTCCCACTATACGCCATGTAGGCGTTTGGGGGGAGTGGAGGTATAGCTCCTCTCTTCCTTGACCTCGGCACTAGATGGGGGTGAGTGGTCAGCATCACGCCCCGGCCGGCTTTACCCCCGGGAAAGGACCCCGGTACCCATTGTAGAGGAGACTGGGTGGGCCCCAGAGCCGGTCTGGACACAGAGGCTAGAGGAAAAATCCTCTGTCCCCGTCGGGGATCGAACCCCGGTCGTCCAGTCCGTAGCTAGTCACTATACTGACTGAGCTATCCCGGCCCCCTCATCCAAATAAGTGACGACTAAACTCTTCAAACATAAAATTATCCTCTCATCTACGATTATGTCCTCTACCTGACCAAAACTCGTGTATAATTATAGGAATATTTAGTACGAATTATAAAGCTCCTTATTATGTCATTTTCTCCAGTCGCCGGTTTCTTCCGGTTGGTCCAAATCTTCTGGCATCCCGAAATTATTCTGCTCTTAGTTTCTCCATGAGATCAATTTTGTTCCTGTTACCGTAGTGCCCAAATATTGGACGTTTTGCCAATTTTCGAATTATTCATTACCTACAGTTTATATTACAATTCTGTTCTGTTTCTTGGTAATAAGACACGAATATATACTTAATTTTCTCTGCTTTTACTTAAAGACCATCCACCTTATTACTGATAACTGCGGTTGAGTGGGCTTTAAATCCACTCAGCACTTTAAAGTCTAATGGTAACTACATGTACCACCCGCTTTAAAAATAAATAATTATGCGTTTCCCCCCCCACAAAGTGTACTAATCGGTTTCATATGATTCTCAGATGAAACAGTGATTATTTCCTTCAACACAAATGAAGTGATAGTTGCAATTGCTAGGTGTTGTGTTTTCTTTGAGGTAAGGGCCGAACGTGTTTCACAAATCAGGGCCACAACACAGTATAAACGACGGTGGAAGAAGTTCCTTTGAATCTTTGAACCCGTAAAACTCAGAAGTTCCATCACTTTCTTTACATTCACTGGCATTTATGTTACACCCATATATTTACAAAAAAACAAGTACAACAAAAGCATGTTAAATTCCGGACTGGACCTGCTTGCTGAAGTCATTGGAAGGCTAAAGCAAACAATACAGCGTCCCGAGGGGGGGTTTGACTATGGATCAGCTGTTTCCAAGGGCATAGCTTGAATAGCAAAAAATCTTAGTTCAAAAATCAGCTGAGCAGCTCTCTACCTCCCCTTCCTCCCCACCTGACTTTGCCTAAACTCGTCTAGCCAACTTCTTGCGTCTTCGTCTCGCTACATCGGAAACTCCTAAGAAAACAATGTACTCTGGCACACTGGAGTAAAAATCAGGAAGGAGAAGTGACTCTGTTCTTAAGAACCCAAACGGAAATTCATCTGTTGCACGTAGACAAGCCACGGTGATGATTTGCTCGTTCAGAAACCGTCTTTCAATTTTTTCCTATTTAAATCCAATCGACATATAAATAGGCTAATATAAACGATGGAACTCGAAAATTAATTATTAATTTTCCGTATGAAAATAAATGTTGTTTAATAATCGTAAGACACCATCTAATATCCATTTAACAATGCGTTAGATATAACTCTTCGTAATTAAAGTATTTTCCTTTTAACCAATTACATTACTTTTCAAAATGATATGAGGGCATAACAGGACATTTATTGCCCTAACCTCGTGACATATTGTGGGGGTCTTCCTTGAAACGTCCATTTTACTTATCCGGTTAAAAAGTTGCCCGCTTTCATGGACCCGGAAATTTCGTGGTTCTCACAGTGGTGAGGACGAAGATGATTGCCTTCTGGGTTGTAGCGCCGTGTAGTCTGGTAGACGTTTACCAGGGTTTCATAGGTCCTTACTGCCATCATCATCAGTGTAAAATCTACCTTGAGTCAGTTAAATATAATTCATATCCTAACCAATAGCTTCTTTGAGGCCAACTTTGATGTTATCCTTCTAACAATTTTAATATTAGTGTGGTTTCTTTCTTTCAAGTTTTCTGGATAAAAACATATTTTATTGCTTGATTAAATGTGTATGATTACTGGTTTAAAACATTAATCTTATGACAGCCTCAATGCAGAAGAACTATGACAGAAAAAGAAGGCATGGCTGTTTTCATTGCATTATCAAATTAAATTCGGAAATAAAATGTAAATAAACTGAAGCACATCCAGTTTGCTGTTGTGAAAATAGTGAGGGATGGGGCTTGTAGTACGGTACCTCTGGGTTGCCATGGTCAATGCCCGGCCAGGAGAGGGCCCCATCTCGCCCCTTGGCTCCCAAACCCCTCTTCCTGCCTCGCACCTGCCGGGAAGAAGGGAAATAACTGAACACAATGAGTCTCCAGAGTTTGTACACTTAAAACAGCTCTTATGAATATAGTTTATACACGGACAGATAAGCATGCAGGAAATACTACTTCTGGGTTGGGTAAACAATCTGTGCAGTGCCACTCATAAATTGTGATTTGGTCAGAAAACAATCATGCTGAAACCTGGGCTAATGACTTTGCCCAGGTTCCTGAACACATTTATCACAGACACGGCCAACTGAGTTAAATCAAACACATCTCACTCAACAACAGTTGCGTTACTAAGTGGAACTCGAAATAACCCTCCCTGCTGATAGCTACAGCAGGGCGAAGC